CCTGTACACCAGCAAACTGGTCTTCTGTATCTAGGTAGGCATGTACTGACCTACCTAGCCATCGGATTGTTGGATACCTACCTACCTACCTTAGTAGGTAAGTTAACTTGCTACGCTCGCTGCTGCTGTGTTCATTTTCGCATGCGACACTGCGAATAGAGCTGCCCAATTCACGAAACTGATCGTGCTAGGCCACTCTGATACCCGGGCTAGTAGGTCGCAGTCGAATCTAGAACCCAGCCATAGACATGGATGCGAGCGGCGAGTTCGATCGATGGCCAAAGGCACAAAAGCTTGCAGGCAGGCAGGCAGGGTTGTCAGGACACTCCACCAGTTTGTGTCAGTCCCAGTCAGCCCAGTTGATCGGAGAGTTTCAGAGACACTTTGACCATTTCCTATTAGCGGAGTGGATAAAGATAGACCGACTACCTACTGTACATCCCATGAAGTGTAAGCACGTATTTATGGCATACTGCAAGAATCCCTCTTCACGAAGTACATTCCCTTTTTAGAGTATGGGTGTCAATGCAGCTGCACCTTGAGATCTGGCGTGTTGGTATGCCATCGACTTTGATGGGTATGTGAATGCGGACCAAAGGAGATTCCAAAGGAGATTCCAAAGGAGATTTGTTGGGTGCGAGTTGTTTGTTTCAGCCTCGATCCGTATTGGACAAAAGATGCATATCATGGTCGCACCACGCCTGTTCACCTACCTCCCTGTGCAACTTTCACAACAGTATCAGCTATCTGTCTGTCTCTTGGTCTCAGAGACCCAACCCAACGCCTTGACACAGTAGACCGCCCGCTTTGCTTCGGGCCTGGCACCAATATTGAGAACCATGTCTTCACTCCCTCGTTGATGCAAACCCTCAGCTGTGGTTGTCTTGAGGCGACCCGCAATGGCCCGGATCATATTGTGATCACCGTCCGTCGTAGTCCAGGCCTGTGGCGCATGTGTTGCATGTGTCTAGACTAATCGATCGAGCCCATGGATCCGCCACAGCACTCATACAATCACATAAAAAAATACGGGAAACCCTATCCATCTCAACCATTATTTTTCGGACAATATCTTCCTGTGTTTTCTTATTACAGGTGCCTAGTAACGGGGGAATTACGAAAGTTTCCCGCACATCTGAGACACGGTGCTAGGTTGTTTGTTCGGGATATCTTCTTGTGACCAAGCATTGAGGCAAGTAAACCTGAAGTACTGAGTAACCAACCAGTAGCCTATTCTTTAACTTATATGTCTGCGAACGCAATACCAGCTTCCCAGATATGTCTGGCTCATGTGAGAAGGCTTTGCAAGGGTTGTTCAATGATCTTCGCGTTCATTAGACGGCCTAAGATGTATGTATCCACAGCCCATTGTCAGCACATAAAAGATGGCATTAACTGTCCCTCCTCGACTGTTTGGCCCAATATGGTCATTGTTGTCTACGCTCATGAACAGAGTCCAGCCTCGAGCCTCGAGGCTCAACTACCCCTTGTCCAGTGTCTCCCGTGATTTGGCATTGACAAGTCACCCCTTTCTCCCTTTCCGTGGACACATTCGACGGCCCGTGTTCGCGCCCGTCAAAATCGGGATCTAGATATTGTTCTAGACCCAAATTTGCCATATTCCCACTACTATCTGCATTGCCCACTCTGAGATACCGTATACGTGTCTGAGGTGTGACTTGGGGCATGCAATAATCTCAGATATTCTCCTTTCCAGACAATTAGTGGCATCCATGGTATGGTCACTTGATGCTGTGTGGGCTATTATTCGCAGGATGTACTAATTACGCGGAAGTGCTTCTACAACCGCCCCTGAAACCAACATACTATATTCGTTAAATTTCCATGAGAGGGCCCTCTACTGCGTAGTTCAGGGCACCTATAATTGGATGTTAGTAGTTCTTTCGCTGGCTTGATGTTATCCGTGCCTTACTTACCTATGGATCTTTACGGTTATACCCTTCCCTTAGGTTAGAGGGAGCAGACGGGTACAGCAATGGAACGTCTGAGCTGCTTAGGCACCTTACCTTAATAATTAATTGCCCACGCGAGACCCCGAGACCCCATCACTACCGACTGGAGGTAAGGTAACAGGCGCAATCCGAAATTGGATTGGATGTGGATCCAAAGTCAGCCCGCTCTTTTCAGAACAGCCTCAGTTTCTCCGTTCTCTTACAACAAACAGCGCAAACAATTCATCCACGGCCACCAAGAGACGAGGTAATTGCTTCGTTCCGCTCAACCAATCAATCGTCGCATTGACTGCCTACCTATCCCTGATCGTTGCAACATTACTTGCCTCTGGGGAAGTTAAACACCATGGCCCCATCTGACACAAACAACCGAGCCACAGAGCCTTCGGCCTCGGGTTCAAGTTCGGGGGATGCCGATATGGCCCAGGTGAGTAAAGTCACGACCTTCTTTTTTTTCCCTTTCCCTATTCTTTTTCTTGAACTCTCCTACATATGTTGCTCCGAGAGAACGAACAAGAACGTGTATGAATGGTACGGTACACTCTGCAAGTTAGCACCAAAACACCACCGCGATGCCCGAGATGATGGTCGATATATTTATTCGACTATCGATTTGTTTATTTACCGGCTGTTGGTTCTGACAGCCAAACAAGCGTCACAAACAATGCTCTTTCTATTCCCCAATCTCAATACCATTCCTCAACATGCCATTCCTTCATTCCCTGTCTATTCCCACTCCAGAAAGTCTAGACCCGGACTTCCCGTGGAACGTTTTATACCTTAGCTAGACCCAGCCAGTTGGTCGAGACCTTCTCGCTTCGCTTGGTTGCCACAAGTCGAACCCTCCTGATTTGCATCTGCATCAACATTGGCATCCTGCATTCTGCATCTCTGATCCCTGGATCCTGGGGCTGGTTGGACCTTGGGGGAATACCGGTATCATATCACTATTTTGTTGTCAGCATTCTTCTGCTCACACGCCCTCCCGTTTGACTCCATATCAACCTATCCCTCACTATGGCTATTGCACTGCATTGCATGATACTGAATGTCCGTTCACTGACAATTTTCTGTTCCAGGCCTATCGAGACCTTGCTAGGTATACTATTCCAAAGTTCAGCGTCATCCTCCAGTTCATCTCACTGTTTATTCACGTTCACACTCCCTCTCACAATACCGATCCTTTCCATCCACTGTCTTCCCACTCTCGCATTTCTGTTATACGCATTCTCCTTGCCACCATTTACTATCAACATGAATTGCTTCCGTCCACGTTTTTGGCAGGCTACATGCAATTAAATTTATTAAAAAAAAGAAAAAGAAAGAAAACCAGCCTCTACATCCCTTGGCTTCAGTCTCAGTTCACAGATCTATTCACCTACCGGCGTGTCCGACACCTAGTCATGGCCAAAGCGTTTAGACATGTCCATGGCGATTTTCAAAATTCCCATTTTTCAAAATCAGAATCTCAAGAACCTCAGCTGAACAAGCTCCTCGGGAGATCGGCATCTATTGGCACCGATAATCACCCCATCACTACCCTTGCATCTCCCGGATTGACATTTTCTTCATCGGTGAAGGAAGTCTCCGATTGCCTCCTGATGCTTGTATCACTACGTTCTTAAGTCACTCGACTTGCATTTCATTGGTTATATAAGTTCTTGCGCTGTATAGGTAACTCGCAAGCGAGGCGAGCATCCCTAGCAAAGACGCATCACGACATCTTCACAGCTCGCATGACGCACGCAGTCGTTCCTGTTCCTGCGCACCTCACTACCCTTGACTTGGCCTTCGCCTCCCTGCTATTTTAGCACCAAACTCTAAGAGCGATTTTTTAGAACTGCAACTGACGCAAAGGATCCATAGAGGCGAGCAAGCGGCCACGGCCCTTGAGAATAATCTTTCAAACCTCGAGAGCAGGCTGGATGCCATCCTCGCTGCTTTAGAAGCCAGAGAAACCACACAGATGCCCGCCGCCGTAGCTAAGGCCAACAGCTCCCCAGGAGCTGCAGACAAAGGTCACAAGGGCAGATCACCGGATGGCACTAATGGCGACGCAGAAAAGATTGAAAAGGATTCAGCCTAAGCGACCACCCAGTTCGAGCAGTGGCTACACATTATTTCACATAGTAGACTAGACAAGGGAAGCAGGGTGTAAAGCCAATTCATCAGTCTCTTCCGCAAAGACTCTTATGCTTGAAACATCTGGACGGTAGCGGCCATTCGATAATCATTCCCTATTTCGTTGAAAAGACATCCCTGTTCTCTCACCTATCTTTCGATCCCACGTACTCCTGGAGCTCAGAGGCTCATGTCCAGCCCCATATAGAAGGGCAAAATGAAATAGTAAACATGAACGAACAGAGAAAAACCAGACAAAACGCGATGAGCAACCCCGTAGAGCAAAAGATCAAACAGCATTCCACGAAACACCCATCCTCGAGTGGCCCTTCTCCAATCGTCCCTTCCTTATTCTAACTGTGGTCGCCGACATGTATCGTATACGTATGTTTTTGTTGTCGGATCATGTTCGTCTAAATCGATATACGTCGTTGTAACGAGCAACTGGATCGATAAACGTCCTTCTCTGCAGGAAGTTCGACGTAATCGTCCGCCCATGAAAACCCCAGAAACGCCCACATGACAAATATAATGCGATAAAAAGAATTATGTCCATCTCAAGCTTTAAGCAAATGGAAGTTGAGGAACGCAGAGACACACTGCTTTGGACCTTGCCAGGGATCATGATTCGCTGTCGCCTAATCGACCAGTGCCTCGAGTTCGTGATCTTCATGTCAGCCATGGTGAGTTGATGCACCAGATCCCGTGATAGACAGTCGGTGTTGTCATAAAATTCACGGTAGGTACAGGAGTGGTGAGGTGACCGGGAAAAGATCCTATGGTAAATCTCAACTCATCACCTCACAATGGGCAGTAGTATTTCGCAAAGGCGGGCGAAGGCATGTGATCCTCGTCCTCTCGTTATTGACTGAGCGATCTCATGAAAGCCTGAAATGCGAGAACCAGTTAGTTGGTAAGACTTCGCATATCAGAGAGGTCAAGACGTGCTCTTGCCAGGGGATCCTCATCAGTGGCCAGAATGGCAGGGCTCTCCTTGCCATTTCCCAAAAGAGGTTCTCGACTCGTGAATGAGCGGCTCTCGAGCGTGGGTCGCAGCAGGCCCTGTCCCCCCTCCTTGTGCTTCGATTTCGTCTCGGCATGGAGTGCCAGTTCCCGCTCACGATTCTTTTCAAGCAAAGGGCCGCCGAGCGTCGCGCACTTGAGGATCGTCTGGATCAGATGATTTTGCTGCAAGGGTTTGGACAAATACTCGTCCATCTGAGCTTGGATACACTTCTCTCGGTCACCCATCATAGCGTGGGCCGTTAGGGCAATGATGGGTGTGCGGTGGCTCCCTATGCCTCGTTCGTATTCTCGAATCTTGCCCGTGGCTTCGAAGCCTCCCTGTAACCAAAAGCGTTAGTTAATGTGTCTGCGCGATGACTGTGAGGATTGAGTTTTCGATGTTGGTACTTACCATGATTGGCATTTGTACATCCATAAGAATGACATCGAATTTCTTGCTTTGGACGGCTTTGACAGCTTCCCAGCCGTTGCCAACCACTGTTACCACATGGTGATACTTCTCAAGAATTTTCACGGCTAATCTTTGGTTGACGGTGTTGTCTTCGGCGAGCAGAATTTCGAAAGATTTCGTGTTGTCAGCGAGTGAAGGTGTCGCCCGGTTCTCGAGAGCCGGAATCATGCCGTTTCCTAGATCAATGAGCTTGCACGGCGTGGTCATATACGACGTGATTCCCAGATCTAAGCACGACTTCAGACTAACATGAACAACTGGTGCCAGCAAGACGATAGGGAGGTACTTGAAATCGTCCACGGCTCGTAACCTTCTCGCAGTGTCGATGGAATCGACGAGGATAGCGTCATAGGGAAGGGAACCACCGCTTTGAAGACGAGTCAGCGCCGGACTTTTCTCCGAATCCACCACGACGGGCTTCAATCCGATCTTCTCTAACATAGGCTTGATTGAGGTGGCGTTCTGCGACTGAGCCTTGTCAACGAACAGCACTTGATGGCCTCGGTAGGGGCGGATCTGTTGCTCGATCAGAGCAGCGTCGTCAGGAGCAAGCTTGACTAAGCATGTGAAGTGAAATTCACTGCCCTTGCCATGTTCACTGTTGACCCAGAGATCACCACCCATGAGATTGACGAGTCGTTTCGAAATAGATAGGCCTAGACCTGTTCCACCAAACTTGCGCGTCATGGAGCCATCCGCTTGTTGGAACGTGTCGAAGATCAAATCCAGTTTATCTTGGGCGATTCCTATGCCCGTGTCCTCCACGACAAACTCAACCGCATACTCTCCAGGTCGGACATTGTTTTGCCCCATGCTCTCCTTGATCGTTAGGCTGACCTCACCATGCTCTGTGAACTTGATAGCATTGCCAACAAGGTTGAGGATAATTTGTCTAAGGCGGAAGGAGTCGCCAATAACGTAGTCAGGCACGGAGCTGTCGACCTTGTAGGTGAGATCCAAGAACTTCTCATTTGCCTTGACAGCGAGAGTCTTGAGGGCATTGAAGACGGTTCCACGCAGTGTGTAAGGAATCTCCTCAATGACCATTCTCCGAGCTTCAATCTTGGAAAGATCCAAGATATCGTCAATTATCGTCAAGAGGCTATTGGCAAGATTATTGACAATGTTAAGCATCTCCCTCTGATATTGAGTCAGATCGGTGTCTAATGTCAGTTGGGTCATTCCGATGATACCGTTCATCGGCGTTCGAATTTCATGGGACATGTTGGCGAGGAACTCTGACTTGGTCTTGTTGGCAAGTTCGGCAGCTTCCCTGGCCTGGGTATTACGCTGAATAGAATCACGCAGATTTGAAATCATCTGGTTGATCTTGCGCTTGAGCTCGTCCATCTCACCCGACGCTTCGACGTCGACTAGCTTGGTGAAATCCCCGTCGGTGGCCAAGTTGGTTATATCTGAGAAGGCGCGCACTTGTGTAGTCTGTACGAGTTAGAAAACGGGCTTCCCGCAGGGTCATCAAGGACTCCTTACCAGGTTACTGGCCATTGTGTTGACATCCGTGGTGATTTCTTTCCAGCGGCCGTCTAGACCGCCAACGTCGGCTTGAGCACCCATCTTTCCATCAACACCCACATCCTTGGCAACTCGTTGCACTTCGTAACAGAAGCTAGACAAACGGTCAACCATGTTATTGATGGTCTCTTTCAACACTTGTATCTCTCCATTTGCTTCGACCTTGATCTTCTGGCTCATGTCGCCGTTCGCAATGGCTTGAGTAACGGTTGAGATGCTTCGGACCTAGGATTTCATTAGTGACCATGTCAAATCCGAGCTTTCTGAGCAGAGATCTGAGCTTTACCTGGACTGTGAGATTTGACGCCATTGTGTTGACGTTTTCTGTGAGATCCTTCCATTTACCTTCAACATTGGCAACTTGAGCCTGTCCACCTAATGTTCCATCTGTGCCTACTTCCCTGGCTACCTTGCTCACCTCAACGGCAAACGTACCAAGACGATCCACCATCTGGTTAATGGTGTTCTTCAGTTCTGCAATTTCACCCTTCACCTCAACCCCAATCTTCTTTGTCAAGTCACCTTTGGCGACAGCTGTTGTAACCTTGGCAATTTCTCGCACTTGAGTGGTCAAGTTCATGGCCATGCCGTTGACGTTCTCCGTCAGATCCCTCCAGGTGCCTTCAACATCATGCACAGTGGCCTGCCCTCCCAGACGTCCTTCGGTTCCGACTTCGCGGGCAATTTTGGTAACCTCGCGGGCGAACTGTTGCAGCTGGTCAACCATGGAGTTGATGGTTGACTTCAGCTCGAAAATCTCTCCCCTGCAATCGGCCTGGACCTTTTGTGTAAGATCTCCCTTGGCGACAGCTGTGGTAACCTTGATAATGTCGCGCACTTGAGTCGTCAAATTGTTGGCCATGGCATTGACATTGACGGTGAGATCGTTCCACATGCCCTGCACTCCTCCAACATCAGCTTGTCCGCCTAACATGCCTTCTGTCCCGACATCTCTCGCTACACGTGTGACTTCAGAAGCAAATGTTCGTAATTGGTCCACCATGGTGTTAATCGTTTGTTGTAATTGCAATATCTCGCCTCTGGCAGGTCGTTCGATCTTTTTAGTCAGATCGCCGTGGGCCACGGCGGTGGTAACCGATGCTATCTCCCTCACTAGAGACTTGTTAGTCACAGATTATCAATTTCGTAATCTAGGCGAAGTTGCAAACCTTGATCAGTAAGATTCTGGGCCATAACGTTTACTGTACAGGCGGTTAGCAATTTGTGTGGTGCAAAAGACTTTGGGATATGTGAAACATACCGTTGTCAGTCAATTCCTTCCATGTCCCATCGACACCGCCGATACGGGCTTGTCCACCAAGTAATCCTTCGGTACCGACTTCACGAGCGACTCGCGAGACTTCGCTAGCAAATATTTGCAGCTGGTCCATCATAGCGTTGATAGTGCGTTTGAATGTTGTGATTTCAGGGTCCATTTCAACAGTGTTCATGCGAACCTTCATGGTCAAGTCACCGCGAGCAACGGCGGTAACAATCTCTCCAATTTCTCGTAGGGCCTTTTGGAAGGCCTCGTTGGCTTTCTGATGCTTCCAAAGCTCGCGCTCCAGAGTAGCGATACGTTCCTGCTCGAGGATCTCGAGGGCTCGCTCTTGTAGCTGCTTCTGCTCCAAGAGCTGAGCATTTACACCAGCGAGCTCCTGGCGCTGACTATCGAGTAACTTGGATTGGTCATCCACATGTTCTCGAAGTCCTTCAAGGGCTTCTTCGGTCAGCTGATAAGATGGCAGATGCGGAGAGTGCAGGCTACCTTGGGCGTGAAAGACTTTAGGCTTGGGACGGACCGCCACAGCCTGAGCCTCTTCGCCGAAAAGAGTGTCAATAACCTCGTTGGGCGTTTCTGGGAATGGAGAGGTAGCTGAGGCCTGGCTCTCGAGCTTTCCAACACGCAGAGCAAGGTTCTGAAGCTCAAGTTCGAGCTTGCGCTTGGCGGGAGTATCTGGCCCTGGGAGTTGCACCTGAGAAGCTACACCAACCGGTATCGAATTGGGCAGTCGGGGATCTGGGGCAATCGAGGCGACAATCGAAGCCGCAGCGGCGAGGGCCGCGTCGTCAACCATGGTGATGCAGGTAGGCTGCTAATTCGCAGCTGAGTAATGGATAAATGTTTTTTTTGCTGGTTTCCTTTTGGTTTATATATAAATAATTTCTGGCTGCGCCGAGTCGGACGTCCAAAGTGGGCGGATGGGTATGGATTGCAGAATTGAGTCGATGGATGGCACAGCGCCGGGTCGGTGGATTGTAGAGTATACTCGAAAACAGTACGACGCAAGGCAGGACGATGACCAAACTAGGGACGCAACAGCAGTCGACTGCGCAGCATCCTCGATTGTCGAGAGTTTGTATACAGCCACAGTACAATACACAAGGTGACAGTGGGCGGTGACCCTGTCGAGCAGAAATGGGCAAAGATGAGACAAAGTACAAGCAAAGCCGTCGTGAACTTGAAACCAAACAACAGAGAAGACGAAGGAGGGTATTGTCGAGACTGATCCGAGCCTGTTTCGTAGAGGTGAGAGGTCGGATGGCAACGTCGCGACAGACCGTGAGGTTTGAGAAGGAAAAGATTAGGCTGAAAGTCCAACGGGAGCCGTTTACGGGTTGACTGAAGCGGGCGTAGTGCACTGTAAATGGTAAATGGGGTGAGGGATAGGATTTGGGATCAGGGACGGAGCAAAGTACTTCAAGACAGCTGGAGAGGGGGATAAACCCAGTTCAAAAGGTGGTCCCAGCTGCAGCGGTGGCAGCAAGCACTGGACCTCAACACCGGTGTGGGGTTTCTAGCACGCCTAGGTATCTCTTAGCCTTCCGCTGACAGGAGAGTCCTTGACTCCCGTCCTTGAGGCTTTGGGGGGTACCTCTGGCTGTTCAGGGAGCTCGCGAGGACACCATGTATCTCCGAATTAGGTCGGTGCTGGGTAGATCCCTCGGTCGCTACGCTACCACAGCACAGCGCAGCACACGCACACGCACAGCAAGACCAGTACGAGGTGGAAAGGAGGGCGACAAAAGCGATAAAAGGCGGAGCTAACCAAGCGGTGCTAATGTCTGAACAGGCCTAGTGATGTTTCTCTTTTCGGATCGAAGTGGTGTTTGACACTTTCAATGTACATCCATCCATACCATGACAATCTCTCGACCACCACACTGCGTACAGAGAGGCATGGCATTGGCTGACTACCATGGATTGCAGTTGGAATTACCTCGACCGGGTAGTAGTATGACTATGACTTCGGCTGTTGTGAGAGAGAAATATTGAACCCTGCTCAGAAAAGTTATTAGTTGGAGAATCGCATCTCCATATGTCCAACGATGCTACTCTGCTACTAGCTGTCAACGATGTGAAATTGGACTGTGATGTGATCTAGTCGAAGCCTGAAACTTGGGGGATGAAACCATATCTATGAACGGTGGAGTGGGAACCCCGAAAGGAGTAGGGAAACGAGTGATCACAGCAGGGAATTGTGAGTAGGGGGTGACTCTGACTGGCCTGGGTTTGGCAGTTTGCGCAAAGAACTTTGCTATTGGGGGTTTTTACAGTACCTATAATAGGTCGGCCTCCTAAATCATGTGTAAATCCCAGTATGATCATGTTGTGGAAATAATGCATGTGCCATGATAAATGCATCTCCTGTCCCTAATGATGCTATGGATACATGATTGCGCATGTAGTTCAAAATCTTGTACTCCGTATATGGCATGCAGAGACGTCAGTCTATTTTTCGTCCCTTTGTCTCTAAGTGGAGGTTCTAGCAAGGTGCCTTACCTACCTACTAGGTTAGTAGTTTCTCTGCTTGGGGTTACGAAAGTCATTGGCTTCATAGGTACACTACAGGTACTCTCACCTATCTCAAGTGAAAGAAGCCCAAATCTCCTGGGAAGGCCACGTTCTTCGACCCCAAGCCAATTTACCATATCCGTATATCGATAGTGACAGGCTGCCTCGCAAACGGAGTCTGCGAGCAATGTCACTTTTTTAACAAGGGCCCTTCTGGGGAAATCTGAGGCTTGATAGCCAATGGTAGCATGCCCAGAGGCTCTCCCCGCCCCTAATGCAGGCTGGCGGCTGCACGAACGAATCGATCGACATTATTACTGTCCGCTAATGTCTTATGGGCACTACGACTACATCTGTAGAGGCGGCTGAGATATTGGATGGCGGATGGATGATTGAACGGGAAACGAAGGAGGGTGTCACTTTCTATAAGATCCTACTCCTAGGTAGGTAGGTAGGTAGGTAAGTATCCAGGAAGCACTCAAGTCAAGTACTGTACTGCTATAGTACCTGTGCCTCAAAACCAAACACCCGCTCTCGTCTCCTATCAATCAATCTTCTCAAATTTATCAGCATCCCATCGTTCCAGTAAAAAGCAAGTTAACCGCGCAAGCAAGGGGCGGCTTAAGAAGCACTGTTGTGTATGTAAATATAATGCCAGTGCCACAGCCGCTTTAGAAGTATTCAATTTCCCATTTGTTTTATGTTTCCCCTCTACTGGTTTGTCGTTGTCCCGCAGAGCGGTCAAATACCGGCAGACGGTTACGAGTGGCGTGCACCCCTTCATCAGAAGGGTTTAATTACGACCAAACTCAAAGTCATTTTGAGACGCCTGGGTCAAGTATACATACATAGGTAGTTTGGTATTCCTTCTAAGTCGAGATTGATTAGCCTACCTAATCACTGGCGAAGTTGAACTCAACTCTTATTAGCTGGCAAAGAAATGTCGCAAAAAACAACTCGATGTTGGTCCACCTTGGAATCTTGCCCAGAACTACTCCGTACAGTACCTACGTTCTCCATTCCGTTTGAAGGATGTCCACTGCCAACAGTCACGAGTATTCATCAGTACAAGCCCTGGCTGCCAAGGGCCAAGGCCGTTGATGTGGGGTTGTACTATGCTAGATACTCGCACAGTGATGATACTTACCCATCACTGAGTGGGGATTGGAGACTAAGAAGCCATACGTCGCGACCAGACTTGCAGTTCTGCTCTAATTGTGTCTTTCAATCCAGGACTTTGAGGACAATCCAATATGTTCAGTATTGTTGATGTTTGTTTGACTTGAAAGCAGTTTAGGCAGTCACGGCTATGCATAAAGAGTGTGTTCTCGTGTTGGTAGATTTTGCGAATGGATCCATCTAGTGCGATCTCTAGACGCGGCTCCATTGTCATGTATTGAAACGGGCTTCTCAAGCTGTCAATAATAATAAGCGACATCCTCGTGGGCTCGTACATACGGGTCCCCCTTGCTTAGTCCGAAGATGAACTAGGATAAGTATTTCCACTGCGATCTTTATCCGAATTCTTGACCCGACTTCTCATGCACGATCACTCACCTAATAGATATATTGTCCCATCGGTCTTCTGAGTGCGCTAGAAAGGTGCTTGCAGTAAACATTCCGGGTCACACCATAAGCTAGCTCCATCTTCAGCTTACGGCACAATGCTCACTGTTCAGCGAATATTGCAGCTACCACCGTCTGAAAACTGAAGGCATATATCTGAAGATTCAGGTGTCTTGGCACTGTGCGGTTTTCAACAGATGCTTACTGTTTCCGGACTGACTTGGTCCCGGCAGGCTGCAAATGAGAGCTGTGCAGCTGGCTGCCCTGGGCCTTAGGCCACGATCGCCGCGTATGGTACTATGAACGTGGTGTTTGCTTGGTAGCCCGGGACCACCAATTACGAGTAACAGGGTTAGGACATACGCCATGAGACGGGGCATTGTGATGGACAGTGTCTTGTGTTTCAGGCAAGGCTGGCGCAAGTGTTGTCGCTCAGTCTGCAAAGCGCATGCTGCTAATGATCACTCCTAGGACACAGCCTTTGTGCCAGTGATATCGGGAATGGCTAGTAGTTTGTGCTAGCATTCTCAAAGATCGTCCGTAGCGAGGAGACTTGGCTAAACACATCACTACTCACTTGCGAGAAAGAACATACTATATAGTAGGAGAGCATCTAATGGGCATGATATCTAATTGTTTTTCGGCCAGTTGCACATATGAACATATGTACATACAGTAAGGTAAGGTCGGTAGGTACCTAATTATCATTATCGCGACAGTGGAGGAGTTCAGGGGTCGCTCAATTGGTGGGTCGAGGTCAAAATCGAGTCAGCCACCCACGTCATGGTGCAGCTGCGGCACGTCCGTTTCTTATTCACCGACAGGGGTGCCCTTGATTCAACTCCTAATTGTGTGGACGACATCTTTGAAGCCCCGACTCAGGCAAATCAAAATCGAGCTTGGCAATTGCTCGTGTCGTTGCCGCTTGAACAAAAAGCCCCTCAAGTTGAGGATCTTCGCAAGGCGCTGCGTTGTCCGCACCGTATGGTTTGGGCACGAGAGCCTCTTTCTAACGGGTATCTCGACCATTGTCACTGTCTGGAACATCTGAACATACTGTACGTGGGGTTGGCCCGTCCTCCTTCGAGATTGGTGGCTTGTAGTCCACGTGAGATATGTTTCGAATCCATTCAGTCACAGAAGCACGTATACGACTCGGCTTTTGATTTCAAGATCGATGGTCAGAGACATTGCACGAAGCCTGAAGGGATATGATAATGGGGAATGGTGGGCTAGAGGGCTAGAGGGCCAAGAGCAACGCACTCTCCAAAAGACGGCAGCACTTGACAGCTGGTTGCTCACAAATAATCTGGCCGGTACTCATGGCGAATACCAAGAGCTGCCTCATATCCTCAAATCCATCTCTCATCCAACAACGCTGAAGCCGTTGAGCCATTATCGGCACTGTCAGTTTCGGTCGTCGTTCCAAACGAGGTACCCCGAATGCCAACCAACTGTCAATCGCCACCAGAATAGTCCAAGACCGCTCAAAGCGATGTCGAATCGCGCGTATAACCATAGAACCCGCCACTGGCTTGGCCTGGATGACATTTTCTTCTAGAACCAAAACCAAGGGCTCAACAATATCGGCCCATCTCCACTCGGTGAATTGCCTCTTGTGATGAGTGGCCATGTAAGCTTTTTGCCAAACACGTCGGATTCGATTTCGAGTGTGGTGGCGAGGAGACCCCTATTGATACTTCTGGATATGGTATG